GCAAGAGGGAGAGGTTGTGAATGGATGATGTAACACGTGTCAAAATCTGGTTGGTTTATTATCGACAAATGGATATCCATCTATCCTTGCTATGTGGTTAATAATGAAGACATACTTCACAACGACAACAAATTGAACCCCCCGAGAATCCTTACTGCAACATTCAATTGGGTTTTCTAAAATTCATCAATCCCATTGAAGAAAAATGGCAGCCATTTCTGCTTTTACTCCGACCTCGTCCATCCTCCGCCCGGCGCTCCTGCAGAAGGGATCCGTGGCACGTCCTTGTGTTCTCGGTAAGGATATGTCTTGCTCGTCACATATTTCTCTTTCTTTATTCATTTTTTTATTATAGACTGAACAAGCCCTTAACTTGTGCTCTTAACATTCACTGTTCCTTCATGAGTTTCATCACTTCGTGGTTCATAGGTTTATTATTTCTAGATTTTACATATGAAGTCTTATGCTAATGAATTCATTTCTTTCGTGACTACTGCACGTATGAAAGATTCAATGAAATCAAATCTCTCGAAACTAGCAAGATGACATTTCATCATGTCTTGATTGAGGAAAAACAAAATCTGCAACCGAAATGTTATAAAATTTTGGGTTTTCTTGTTCGTGTCTTCTAAAATCGAAACATTCTAAACGCTTTGATAACCCATTCATTTTGCCATGTCATTTTTGATATGCATATTTCCGTTTATCCAAGAATCTCATATGATGAACAAACTGGTACACCATTGAGTTTTTTATAATGGAATTGTCTCTATTTTATTTTGTAAAAAATGCAATTTTCCCCGTTGGTAAAAATGACTGATTTTAAAGTCAAAGATGATGTCATCTACATTTACACCTTCCGGATTGAGTGACTAAACCAAAACTAAAAACAAACTTGAGTTACCAATTTGGAATAAATGAACTTCAATAGCTAACACGAAGCTTAAATATAATTTAAGTGTCTAATATGAAACTTTGTTATAAGTTGAGTCACTAACAATATTCTCTACTCGATTCAAAACCGGGTGCAGGGCTGCCACC